ACTCCCTCCCGCTCGCCCGCCCCCTTCGCAAGCTCCGCCGCCGCCGCTCGCAGCGCTGCACTGGCGCGCGCAAGCTCTGCTGCCGCGAGGCCACGTGACCTCCCCCCCTGCGGCCTGTCTCGCGCCGTTACTAGGGCCTCCCCGGGGGCGGTTGCTAGGGCAAGAGCGGGGAGGGCGCAGGCGCCAGCTCTTAAAGGGGCAGCGGGGCAGGTGCCCCCGCTGGGGGAGGGAGCGTTTCCTTGTACCCTGCAGTGCAACGGGCCTGGGGGCTTGAGGCCTCTTGTCCGTTGTGGCCCAGCGGGGTGGAGGCAGAGCGAGGGGCGCCGTTGAAGCGATGGGGACAAGTTGGGGAGAGGCCAGAGGAGGGCAAGGAAAATGGCTCTGGGGCTGGGGCACGTGGCTTGTGAAGTGGCGGGGCTGATTTAGCCTGTAGAAGAGAAGACCGAGGGGGACTGGGTGGCAGTCTGTGGGTCCCCGAAGGGGGATCCAAAGGGGATGGAGCTGGGACTCTTCTCAGCGGTGGCAGAACAAGGAGCAATGGTTTCAGGTTGTAGCAGAGGAGGTTGAGGTTGGATATTAGGACAGACTTTCTCACGAGGAGGGTAGTAAAGCACTGGGACTGGTTGCCCAGAGAGGCATTGCAGTCTCCATCCATGGAGGTTCTTAAGACCTGGCTAGACAAAGCCTTGGCTGGGATGATTTAGTTGGGGCTGGTCCTGCTTGGAGCAGGGGGTTGGACTGGATGACCCCTGAGGTCACTTCCAACCCTCACTCTCTATGGGGGTCTCCACAGAGGCAGCAGGAGCTACCCCACAGGAGAGGGGAGGCCCCTGTGTGGTTGGCTCTTGCTCCCTCCCCGCCCCCCCCAGGTCCCACAGCCAGCTTGGCTCTTCACCTCTGCTGCTCTGGGGTTGCCCCAGCTGGGTGGCACACACCTGTCAGACATCAGTGAGCAGTTAGACAATGGCTTATCTAAAGCCACACGATGGGGCCAGGACTGTTCCACAGCCTGCTCCTGTTTGCTCCACACACCTGCTTTTGCGTGGTTCAGGGAGTCTCAGCTGTGGCTGTAGCACCCGGGGCGGGGGCTTGAGATCCGGGGCGGGGTGCCAGCACTGTTAGGTGCACACACACGAGTCCCAAGATGGACGCAGCAGTGTCAAATAGGAATTGACAGTATTAAAACAAAACAAAACCTGTCAACCATATTGAGAACATTTTATAGAAGCAGGATGTTGGCCTCTGCGGTTCCCCTGCTTCACCTGTGTCAGGTTAGGGTGTTAGGTCTGTGTTGTGTCAGGGCTGATGGCAGTCTTGCACAGTTTAGATTATGGTTTGTATGGGATGGTTTGGGTAGAGATGATCCTGCCTCAGGCAGGAGGTCAGACTAGATGACCTCTGGACGTCCCTTCCAGCCCGGCATCTCTGACTGTAATGACACAGCATCTGCAAGAATGAGTCTGACACTCACACTGAGGTTAGGGCACTCCCTGGGGCAAGGGAATCCTGGGTTACAAACTCTGCCCCAAAAATTACCAGTGTATTTTGCATGAAACAGTCCTTAGGTAATACAGATGAGCACTCCCTGGAGTACAGACTAGAAGCCAGGACTCCCTGGAAAAGTAAGGGCCCTCTGCACTAGCCAGGGTCATTCCCACTTTTACACTTGCTCTTTCTGGCCCATTCAATCTTTACTTCTTTTAATTAAAGTGGAACAGTTTTGTCTGAAAGGGTTAAGTATGCCCCCAACAGTACCTACCACCTGGTGCTTAGGGTAGTTTCCAGGGAGAATGGGAGATACTTAGGTAGAGGAGAGCCTCAAACCCATTTCTGGAGGAGGAAGCCACATTACTGCAGCACTAAGGAAAAGGAGCTCCCACTGGGTTACAAGAGTGGGAAGGACAGTGACAGAACCTCTGGGAGAGCTTCCATGGGCTAAAGCAGGGGTGGCCAAGTGGTATGGAGTGCTTCTGTGCGTGGCAGGCAGGAGATCGACGAGGGGACAAGAGGCGCATAGCAGAAAGGGCACAAAGCAGAGCAGCAGAGCAGGCAGTGATCATGGGGAAGGAAACAATAGAGTGAGCAGGGAGCAGAAAGCAGAGCAGCAGATCAGGCAAGGGAAGAGGATTGGAGTGGCACTTGGGGAGGGTGCAGAGCTAATCTATGGCATGCCTGCCAAAAAGGGTGGTCCCTACTGGTCTAAAACAGTGTTACTCAACCTTCTGGCTTCACAGGCCAGGTGAGTGGCATGAGGCCAGACCACAAACCCAATCCAGAGTTGTGGGGGCATGAAGGACTGGTCGGTGGTCCATTGCCGCACATTGCCCTGGTCCTGTTTACCAGATCTGACTGCAAAGCAACCCCACGTGCTGGCACAATCTGGTGCATGGGGCTTTGGCATCTGGTCTGGAAATTTGGGGCAGGGGAGCAGTGGCAATGTTAATTGCCACAGCTCTGGAAGCTATAGCAATTAACACTGCCACCATTCCCCTGCCACCACATTTCCCAACCCATGGGGAGTCCCCCAGGCCAGATGACATAGCCCCACAGGCCAGCTTTGGCCCATGGGCAGGAGGGTAAGCAAAACTGGTCTAAAGCTACTATGAGGCATTGAACTGTGTACTTGCCAGAGGCCCCACTACTCAATCATCGCATTTTTTTTCTGCTCTCTCCATCCCCCATCAAGGTTGACAAGATTGCAGGACAGGAGGAGATCAGTTTTAGAATTCAGGATCTCATCAGTCTAGTGAACCCCAAGGCAGACATGTCTCAGCCCCAGTATTCCTCCCAGATCACAGCTAGAGGATCCACCTGAATCACAGGCAGAGTTCTAAACTGAATGTTTTAATAGAGGAGTTTGTGTTGTTTAAATTTAGTTCAGGTAGCATTAGGATGCTGCCATGTCAGTCTGCTTTCATTCCCACTCAGGCTCTTAATATGTCCCAGACCCATAATTAAAAGAGCAGCTGTGTTGGAGAACACTGCCACTTTACACATACAAAACCACAACCACCACAGAAGTTTGAGTCCTGCTCAACTTTCCACTACTCTCGTGCTTACTGTTCTCTCCCTGTACTTGGTCAACCCTCACCACCAGCCAAGATGGGAAGAGGGAAAGATTCCTGAAAAGAAGAAGAAAAGAACAGGGAACTGACTAGAATCTCTTAGCAACAGCCATAGTGAATGATATAAAAACACAGTGGCTTTCTGCTTAAGAGGTGTGCCACAACCTAGGTGCGCCCTGTTACCCTTTCATTCCAATTCCTCCATGTCCTGTGACATAACACTCACTCCAATGGTGCATGAAGATGAAGATTTTTCATAAACAATCTCCACCATACAGGGGCAGATTGGCAGATTTTTAACTGGGGGTGGGAGGAAACGTTGTGGCTTTTAATATAGTGTTTGTTTTACAATTTTGACTTGCTGTAGCTTTGGACGTTGTGGTGTGTTCAGTATTTTTTACTGTTCATATTTAATAGGTACATTCATTACATTTACTCAACAATTCACTTTAGAATGTCTGTACATTCATTGTTCCATTGTGAACAATTAATTTAAATGCCAACTTTCAGTCTCATAAAATCCAAATTTACGTGACAATAAATCCCCACATGCAGTCCACGAAGCTCCTTACTCAAAGTAGGATGAAATCCTTGTACCACTGCCCATATACCCAGACACGTGTGGTAGGCATGATTAAAGCTTCCCACAAAAGCACACGTGTAGTTTACAAGTAGCATCTCACCTCACCATAGGCGCACTGTGCCTGACACCTGACTGCTACGCTCATGAGTAATTGCAACATTGCACAGAGGCATCTTTTCTGGCTGTTCAGAACGTCTGCCTACCTCTTTCTCCCACCCATCAGCAAGCCTCTCTGCCTTGCTGTCACGAAGATTTGTACAAAACAGAGCAAGGAGGTATTATAAAGTAGACACATTTCTCATCACCCTCCAGCATTGACATCAACCTCCTCCATCTCCCTTTCAATCTTCCAAATACCATTCTGCATCTATTCGAGGTAGAATTAAACAGCTTTCTCCCACCTTAATGTACAGTGAAAAGATTAAGTCAGGGAAGCAGAGTGTATGGTGCAGCTCCCAGAGCCACTGGAGAAATGACAGTGCCATCCTCATCCATAGAGACCAGAGAAGCAAAGTTCCACTGCTCAGCACCTCACAGCCAAGAGATGATAAAGCTCCTAGTGATGTGGACCCTGCTGGACCTTGCCATTAGTATTGGTGAGCCTTTTTCAGTGATCAACCAGGTCTTGCAGAACCATGGAAAAATATCCTTTTCATATTGAGGATCGCTGAAGCGGAGGGGAGAAGGCAGAGAATGAAGACTAGACCCACAGATCCCATCAGGGATTCCCAAAACACTTGGAAAATGTCAACTGTGCCATGCATTAACAATATCCTATGGCTTGCCCAGCCGCCTGACCTGTAGTGACAGTGCTTTCTTGATAACAGTGAACACCTCCATTAGAACAGTCTTGATCAGCGGTGCTCAACCTATAGCCTGTAGGAAAAAATCCACAGCCAGATTCAGCTAGCAGGGCTGGGCCAACACACAGGATTAGGCTGGCATGCTAGGTTACACCTGCAGACCAACCTCACATAACCCCACACTGGATATGGGCCTGTGGACTGACCCTGTATGCAGGCTCCAACTCACAGGACTAACTCCACACCTCCCATCCAGCCCGCAGAGCTGGATAAATTAAACACCATTGGTCTTGATGACTAGCCTACCGAACACCAAGCTAGTTAGCCATGGCCTAGTAGCAATCAAGTATAGTGCACTTCCAGACAGCAGTGGCTATGAGATGAGGGAAAATCCTGGAGAGATGTTTTAGTTCTGCAACTCCAGGGTGAGCACTGCACAGGTTTCTAGGGGGGAAAAAATTGACATTCATCTCTGCTGCCACTGCCGGTCATCCCAGTACCTGTGCCAACAGTCAGTGGTGGGTGGTAGAGGCCAAAAGCAGCACTTTACAGGATGAAGCTTCTCCAAAAAGAGAACTTGGAGTGCCTGTCGGATTTCATTCTTCCTTTCCTCAAATGGCCTATCACCCAGGTTTCCAAATCCTTGTGTGAATTGAGATACTCTTGCAGCAACCTGCTCTCATACATCACTGGGGGGAGGAAATCATACATCATGGGGGACAAGTTGGGGGAGGAAATCATAGCACTGACCAATATTTTCCCTTAGATGCCAGACTGAAAAGGGCAATGGGCTGGCCCATGAAAACCAGCTGGATAATAGGATTAAACAAAAAGAATCACGGGCATTACACAGTTTGACCCCCAGCCTGTGACAACCATTGTCTTCCTCTAGGTAATGCCAAAAATCCCAGAATGCATGTAGCACACCAGTGGAGCAATGCACCCTGGGGCATCTGATCAGAATGCTAAGCATTCCTTTGAAAACATCGAAGTGCTGCAGAGCTGCGATGAAAGGAGACAAATGTAGCTCAACTACAGGTGAACCATGTTATATATGCAAACTACTTCCAGCAGACTTAATGCAGCTATAGAGTATCTGCAGCAAGTTTCAAGTGCAGACAAGACCTGATATATTGGATTGCTTGGGCAGCAAAGCATTGGAGATGTAGCCTCACAGCACACAAAAGTGGTTGAGGAGGACAGGCTGAGAATGCCAGGGAACAGGGAGCAAAGTGCATAGCATTTGAGTATGAACAGGGGCCAAGGCAGTGCTATATAAACAGCCTCCCACCCTTTACTCCTGGTCACAGAGGGCTGAACTAGTTACACCCATAAGGCTGCCATTTCTTCAAAAGATCCTGCCACAGAGGCCTCCCGTGGGCTTATTTCAAAGGGTAGTTGTGAGCCTTTGACCATGTCCACCCTATCAGTGCAGCTAGTGCAATATTTTCATCAGAGGACCTGGCTGCAACACAGAAGTCAGGAGGGAATTGGT